TTCCTCGGTCTACGAATAAGTATCGCAGTACAGCAAGGAAATGACAAATGACCAAACGTTTTAATTTTTTTATTATTATTATTACTATGTAGGTTGCGAATATTGTAATTACCTTATATTTCAAATATAATGTTTTTAAACCGATAAATAACAGCCGAGCGTGAATTAGTACGCGTATTTTTGTTCGTGTTATGAAGACGCATAACGTGGGCGGTGACGTCTAATGGTACGTTTCCTCAAATCTCGTAACATGAGTTTGCATCGTATGCATTCATCTCAAAAATAGCTCACTAATTTTATCTCAGTACACTGCGGGTCGTAGGACATAGGGTTGACAGAAGTGGCTTATTTTTATAATAATAAAGGCCGTTTATTTCCAAACTTTTGTTTAGTTAAACCGTTTATTTCAAATTTACAAATGTTGGCAATGTACACTTTAGATTTGTTATATAAATTTATTTGTTACTCTTTATCTTAATTTCCTTCAGTACCAATGATCGGAACCCCTTCTCGGGAACGGCCTTTTCCTGCTTTTTCTAAACTTCGTAATCTATGGCTTTGTTTCTCCTCTTTATCTTCTATCCACCTTTTTTTAAGGGCGCCCTCATCTCCTTCTTCCCCTTGGTCCTTTCCATATGGTTGTCTTTTATCTGTGCATCTTGCTTTATGCCTGCCAATTACCACTTCTGGTTTAAGGCATAATGTAAAACACCGATAACTTTTGTTTTTCCTCTTGTTTTGACTTTGCTTTCTTAATTGTTTTTTTTTATATTTCTGCCAACTCCTTATAAATTTTCCTCATGTAATTTTAACATCTTGGATATTTTATACGTAAAGGTTTATTTATCAAAATTGAAGAATCAATTAAAGGATAATAGAAATAGGACAAGCAAGTAAAAACTCTTATCTTCCTAACACAAAAGTATTCGATCATGGATACGCAATACGTATGAGACAACGCTGAAAAACTATACAACATACCTACCTACTAAAGAAAAATAATTAAAAGATCTACATTAGTAATGCAGAAGGTGGGTAGGAAAAAACTCTAGAAAACCAAATAATAATATAAAAACATTTTACCGCTTCACTGATAATACAATGAGAAGCACTTGGAATCTCTGAACAACTTAGAGCCAATAGAAAGCAAATCCACGTCGAACTAAAGAGCTTCGTGGAACATCTATTTACAAGCGAAATAGAAATACAAACTCGAACGAATACAGGAAATATATTCGATCAAATTCGTTAATAAAGATTTATTATAGGGAATCAAACAATTATTCAGCCGGGAAATAGAAATCAGAAGTGTACAAAAAGCAATAAGACGTAAAGATACCACGTGACTTATATTTAACAGATTTTGTATTTGTATGAAATTGTATAAGAGTATCAGTTTTTTCAACTCCATTTATTCATCATTTGGTTTTGATAGCCCTATGGCTTTCCATGTTACCTTTTATGACAGCATGATGTTCAGTCACTCTTCATTGTGGCTTGAATGGTTGTGAGAGCTTATTTTCGGGCAAGTTCGTTACATGCTTGTATGATATGGCAAATTTATAATTTATATGTACGAAATTATTTTTAGGGGTTGTTAAAAATAGGTTTTATTCTTAAGGCCCTTTTTGCTGCACGCTACCCTTTATAATTATATAATAAGGTATACCCCTTATATAATAACTAATAAGGTATACCCCTTATATAATAAGGTATTTCCGAACATATTAGACATTTTTAAGAGGGTCCCTTTAAAACGTACCAATTCCTAAAAGAACGGCAACGCAATTGCGAGCCTCGAGCATTGTGACATGAGTGGTGGTTATTACTTAACTTAAGATGAGCCTCCAACCCGTTTGCTTTCTATTCTATAAAAAAAATGTTGGAGTCTTAACAAACTTTGAATTAATGCAAAATTCACTTAATTATTTCATGGGCCATATATATATGATTAGACAATTCACACCAATTGACCTAGTCCCATGCTAAGCTAGTGAAGCTTGTGTTATGGGTACTAGGCAACGGATATACATACATATTATAGATAGATAGACATATAAATACATATTTAAACACCCAAGACCTAAGCACAACACCAAATGCTCATCACATCGATGTTTGTCTCAGCCGGGGATCGAACCCGGGACCCATGGATTCGCAGTCAGGGGTACTAACCACTAGACCAATGAGCCGTATATATGTTTTTGTTGCATATTAGATATAATTCTAAATAATGGCAAAAGTTCAGCTTTTATATTCAACTTTAGCTGTATACTAATTAAGGCCAATCAAATAATTTAATCACATTAACTTATTACTATTGGAAAATAACTGTCATACTTTGAGCTGCCTTTGAGTTAATAAAAGCATATTTAAGAAATAGAAACGTTACAAAAAATATAAACTGCTATGATAAATGGCCTATGCGTGAAAAAACCAAATTAATTCGTCAGCCCATCCTTCACATACGCATTGACTCGGTATTAAAAAACTACAACACGGGTGGTCCGGTACATACGTTCAGAAACCTATATGTTTAGCTCAAAGAGTTGACCGTTTAGCCTTGTAGAATCGTCTGCTAAGGTCAAATAAAACCTTGGTAAGGGATAAGAATTCCTATTTAAATATGAGACATTTGAATATTATAAATATTGTTTTATTTTTTAATATATCTTTTATATGTCGACGAACATAAAAAAATCAGTAGGTACAACATTTTAGGTCTGTGCACCGTCTGTACCGTACAAGCGAGTGTTAAATGCGCACATATAAAGTCTATTGGTGCACAGCCGGGGTACGAACCTACGTCCTCAGGGTTGAGAGTCGCACGCTGAAGCCTCCAACAGACATAGAGGCTTTTAATATAGTCTGTTCTACATATGAAACCTTTTTTACGGAGAAAACACAAGGAACACATCACTCTAAATTCTTAGCCCAGAAATTCGAACATAGGTTTTTACACTAAGTTAGAACTTATGTTAAGTCTAACTACGCCTTTCAAATTTCAGCATAGAATAATTATACGGCTGCTCGTTATCAATAAAATTAACATTTAATTCCAAATATGAAATTTAGAATGAGAACGAAATCAAGCACTTGACAATTGGAAAACAACATTGGTTTTAGCGCCGACAATTCCATTGTTTTATTCAGTAAAATTAGTTTTAGGTATTGCGTAGACAATGACCTGTTTAAGCGTAACGGTTAAGTTTTATAATAATATAAATAAATAAAATAATATAATAATAAGTTTGAGATCGTGTCTTAGAACCCCAGATCAGTTATTTTTTTTACTTTAAAAGGTTCCTAAATCTTTCTCTAAACATTATAATGCATTGTTATAATGAAAAAAACACTTTTTTATTGTTTTTTTTAATCAGATTAACGGATGCAATTTCGACCCATAATGTGTTGTAGCGATAATGTACTGCAGACTTCTATGGAATAGAAATTGTCACCATAGATCCTAGAAAGTAAAAAAATATGAAAATTCAATATCTTTTAATATATGGATGTTTATATATAACTTTGTTTTTTTATTTATTTTAAGAACATTTAATTAAACACATTAACACAATAAAAACGCATAACACAAAGAAGGGTTCATATTCATTCAGTTTCAGCAAGTAATATTTCACATCAAATTTGTTTTCACAAAAGATGAAGGAAATGCAGCACAAATTCCAACTTGCACCAAGCCAACATTCTCTCGTTAGGGTTGGATCTTCAAGACTCCGTAAATCTCACTAACAAGGAGCCCTTGCAAGCTTTTTATGGTCTGCTATTTCGTACAATTCCAAGGACCAGGCGATATGATGTATGAGAATTCGAAAAATAATTTGGATATTGGTATCTTGGTAAATCATAAAGGTATATTTTGACTTTGCCAAAATAGTTACCATTATGATAAAACTTTTTAAATACGACGAAATCAGCTTTTTGTACATGTATTAAAATCTTTATCATTTATTAATTGAAAACGGCTAAGAACCTATTATATAATATTAATATTATATTATATAACTATTATTTATTGTTTTTCTTGCTTGAAATGTCGAATGGATTTTCAACTACGTATATATACAGAAATATATTTTAAACTAGACTATTATTTTTTAATATTTTTTTTAAAGAGCAGATAGCAAGCTGACAGGAAGGTCATCTAATGTTAGTGATACCTGTGGACACTCTAAATGCTAGAGGGCTCGCGAGAGTTGCCTTTTAAGAATTGGTACGGTATTTTCTTGAAGGACATAAGTCGATTGCTTCGGAAATACTCCAATGGGTAGCTGCTTCCATATACTTACATATAATGACATTTATTTAAATCAATTAGATGAAAAAACTAAATCTATAACAAAAACATTAACTAACCTTAAAATATAATTAATAAGGATTCCCTAAAGGCAAAATTCCGAAGATACTGGCAGCCCTTTAAATAGCTAGACTAAATCTTTGTCCGAGGTAGCTGCCAGCTCTTCGGTCTCTTGTGACGTCGACTAACCTTTTTGCTATTTCCTTAAAAAGCCTTATAGCGCTAGGACCCCACGGACCAAGGGTAATGACATTTATATCATAACCTTTATTAATTTAGTTTTACGCATAATTTCCACTTGTTTCGCACAAGATTTAATTATAGTACACAAACATCTGTATAAATTCTATAATATCATAGATAGTTCAACAAGCAAGATTTTAGTGTTGGGTCGAGTAGCCGCATTTCCTAAAGAGCAAGTAACATCCAAAATGTATAATAGTTTAATTGGGCGACACGCTACTTGGTCAACTCTGCGGTAATTTTTTTTGAGTTATTATTATAGTAAAAGATGTATAAAAGTATATCAAATGTAAAAAATGCCAGCAGTAATTAGGATACTAGCCGACCAAGCGAAGTCTAGACCAACGGGTGGAATGCGACCTTTCCACTCCCACTCCACTTGAGTAATAATTACCCAAAGCACCCCTAACATTAGCGTCGTAGCGAAATACAACTATTGGATTTAATAACATATATTTTCATGATTTATAAGGTTTTTCTTAAGCTGTTTTGAAAATTTAACAAAAAAGGTACATACCTCTCCAAAATTGATGAAGCCGTGATCGGCAGCGACGGCGTCCGCAGCCTCCCTGCCTCCAGGCACGTGCACGGCCCATGTTGACGTATAATGGGCCCAGGCAGCACGAGCTAATACCAAGACGGCCAATAGGGCCAGGCGAGCCATCGCACACAGATACACTCACTAACTAGTACTTGTGAGCATTGCACACAGACATTAACTAGACTAGTAAGTGTCAATGTCAAGTTTGACGTCTAATTTTAAAAAGGTGATGCCACTGGCCTAAATGAAAACTGTTAATGCGTACTTGATGAAACGTATAAATCAGTTTTATCGTAGTTGATAAAATGTTAAGATCACTATCTTTTAAAATATAGGAAGATATAATAAGGTTTTTGTATTTAAATGGAATATTCTAGAAAACGTCGTTTATATTTTTAGTAAACAGTCATGAAAAATTATATTTAATTAATCATTTTGGTCAATAAAAATTAACAAAACTTATACAATGTACAAGCACTTACGCGTAAGTATGAAAATTAGTCAATACAGAAATAAGCTAGAAATATATTTCGTAAATTCAGAAATCTATATAAATAAATAATATTTTTTTTTCTTGAACTCTGATGAAGATTTTTATAGAGACAAAAAATTGAAAAATAAAAATAAATTAAACATTTAAATTTATTTACTTAGGTTGTTAATACGGAAAAGAGAACACTCTATGGGCTAGCATAGCAAAATGTTTCGTATGTTGGTATGTAGCCACTATAAAGGTAGGCTGAGTAAAAACATATTAAGGCGAAACGAAGTTCGCGGTGGCAGCTATTAATCTATAAAATTATAACAGTTTAGTTTTCCTTATTACAACGGCAAACTTTATATTATCAGTTTAATGGTATAATTTTGTTTTTATTACAACACGTTTTTAGATTAGATAATATGGGAATATTATTTTATCTATTATCTTCCCATTCTCTGAATTATTCTTTTTTAATTTATATTTAAGACACGGCTAAAAGTTATTTACTTTTACCCTTAGAAATAATATAACCCTTACACTATTAAAAGTACTCTGTATGCAGCGGATAGAGCTGATACACAACATTATTCTATTACGTATTAGCCAGGAAAATTATAAAGGGCAATATTCCAATGACAACGTGTAACTGTATGTGATTGATTAAAAGGATTATCCTTATTTCTGGGATTTAAAGTTGTCAGGCGGAAATTTCTACCCGTTATGTCACGCTTTGAAATCTACAAATGGGTCAAGTAGAAAGCAAGGACACACAAATCCCACGAAGGGCTTTCCTATGATTGCCAATTAATACTAATTGATAATTCGTGATCAATAGAGATTGTGACCACTCTAATAAAGGATCTCATTTGTAAATTTTGGGGCCTTCTTAAATTGAAACTGACATGGTATACTATGCCCAGTTATATTACCTAATACTAATTATCATGCACATCGCTTTGTAGTTATTGCTACCCATATAATTTATGCGTTATACTACTTACTTCCTTTTACTTTTCCCTATGATGATTATAAGTGTGTATTTGCTTATAATTGCAAATAAAGTATTCTTTCTGCACATTTTGAAATGTTTATTTTATTTTAGATGTATTTAAGACATTAACGTGAATTCAGTGCGTAGTGAGTTTATGTGAAAAGCTGCATACATATTAAATACAATGCTTATACTAATTATAGTATAAAAATGCGATACCCTTGTACGAAGAAAAAAGAAATTAAATATTATATAGGTAAACAATTGTCATATAAAGTAGGCAGGTGTACATGAAAAATTAAATTGATAAATAACAAATGTAGGCCATCGAATCGTGTACAATATTTAAATATATCGAAATATTTGCATTATTCGTAAGCAAACGGTCATCAACAAACAGTTTATTGTCAGACTCAAGACATATCTTATCTCTGTCCATTGACTCGCTATGTAAACAATACGTTTTTGTGACTAATATGACAATTTCTCTTACTAATTTATAGCTTATACTGTAGGGAATGTGATGGTAAGGACCAAGAATCCGTTTTCTGAACCACAAGACAATACTAGACGGTGTGAGGCGCCGCTATGACGAGCATTCACCTCTCGCATCCCGTCTGAATCTTTTAGGCCAGTGGAACAACCAACAAAACCACTTACAAATATATTAGATTATCCACTACGTAACACAGTACACTACTGTCATTATTAGACCACAATACGACTGTCAAATGACGCGTGAATATCGACACTGGGCAACGGACAACACACCCTCCGCGCACGAACGCGAGATGCTGACTGGCTCGTTTTCGTTTCGTTTCACTTTGCAGTTTGCTCTCGCCAAATCGTCGCGATTGGACGACCAAGACGACACATGCCAATGTTGCCATTTTTGGACAATTTTTTTACAATAATATGCTACTATATATATATATATATATATGTTTATAAAATTTATAATAATATTTGTGAGTATAATAACTATAATTACCAACCAATAAAATTCCCTCATGCCTTTTGCTCGAAAGATTGTAATACCATGTATTTTTTTCTGTCTGTATCTTTATAGATCCTGAGTGAGAAGACTGCTTCTGTTCTTCTTAACGAATTCCATTCGTACTCTTGGAATCAAGAAGCTCTAAAGTTCATATAGCGTGAAGGATATCGCAAAGGTATGTTAAGAGGCTGCATAATTATTGATTTTGTTTATTGACAGTTTACTGATGATATTTAAAATATATTCTGATTCTAATACAACCTTAAACTGTATATAATATATATCATCAAATAATATAAATTCTATCAAACTATGACAGTACATTTAATTGTGTTACCTAAAATGATAAATTTCATTTGGATTTCCATAATCAGTAATAGAACCTTGCATTGATGAACGCACATATAGAAAATGTATAATAATTTCTGTCCAGGTATCAAATTTTTAAGGATCAATTTTCGTTTCCGCTTTAAGTAATTTTAGTCTAATCAATTACAAATATAAAATTAAAAATTAAAATTAAAAAAATTCCACCATTTAAAGTTTTATGTACCAGATTTATATTTATACAGTATATAGATATCTTATCCCGTCGACACCAGTCGAGCCGCAGCAAAGCGCTTTTTGATGCACGTTCTGCCCTGCGATTCTGTAACTCACTTTTCGAACTCACACAGCGGTTTTCGGATCGCTGGTCGCTCTCAAATCAGTCGTGAAGCAGTCATTTTATGATTTGGCATTCTGAAAAGGTGGAAGCTTGTAGTTTATTGTTTATTAGAATGCGAAATCATAAAATGACTGCTTCACGACTGATTTCAGAGCGACCGCCGGTGCGAAAACCGCTGAGTGAGTTCGAAAAGTGAGTTACAGAATCGCAGGGCTGGTGCGCACGACTTATTTGTACCAGCTGTCAATAATATTTCCGGTCCGATACGTCTTAGGTGCCCTGAAAGAGATCTCGCGTCTTCTTCTTGGCGCTATAGGTCACTGGAAGCCTTAAGCAGTTCCTTTTAAGTGAACTATTTTGTAGATGGAAGACGAAGATGCACATGCTTTTTTTATATATCAAAAAAATAATGCTGCGTCTTCGATGATCGTCCAAGGCAACTTGACTTTATTCAAAAGTATAATTATCGTTACATAAATTAATTATAAATATATGCCTTCGTTATGTTTGACTCTATTGGTGAACCACATGAAAATATGTGCAGTAGTTTTGAGATAATCGCGAACAGACAGAGCGGAGGAGAAATTTGTTTTATGATATGACGTGAACATTAATTAATGTTGAATAAATTTATACCACAATACATTCGTTGTATCTATAGAAATAGTCGCTGCGGCTAAAATCTTTCTTTGTCTAAATGATGATAGCCAAAGACTCGTGTCTGTGACGTTGAGATTGTCGATTATCTAATGCTTCTCCCTTTTCACATAAAGCACGGGCAAACTAACTAACGCACATAATATAATATCTGCCGGCTATCACAATTCGTTTTGTGAGTCAATAAATACCTACTAAGTAATTAAAACACAATTTAATTAAACTTTACAATAACACTAAAAATAAACAACGGTTTTTTGTGAGTGTTTGAAGAAACAAAACCCGTAACGTACGATTTTGCAGAAACGAAAGACTTAAGTACACGTAAAATAGTATAATATAATATCTGATATTCGAACCACATAGCAAAAAAGGGGTTATTACCCAGTGAAAAAGGTTAAACCCGATTCCTTAGTAAAATCATTGTAACACGGATTGTGTTTCGTAAGGACGGGTTCATTTTATGTAACATTTTGAAGATCAAGATTCTATACATATGCATATTACATCGAAGTATATTATTGTCTTCTGTGGTTGTATGTGATTAAGTAACCAAGTTATATTTTACTCATTTACCGTTTACGGACGTTTTTTTGAGTAAAAATAGAAACAATGATATTATAGCCACTTGGCTCAGGTCATAGTAATGAACAAAAATGTAATTGTTAAAGTCATAGCGTAAACACAAGTCAAATCATGAAATTTTGTGATACACTATCGTTTTTAGAATTAAGCGCCCTCTATTGCCTAAAGGGTTAGATACCAGGCCATAAACTCCAAAAAAAAAAACGCCCTCTATTCTATTGTTTAATATTCGAACTACATCAGATATGTTGTCAAATGTCAATAGATCTAGGTTTACACAATACTTTTCCCGACTCTGCTTGGTAATCTAGATGGCGGTAATTCAAGGATACAAAGAACTGATTGCTATAAATTTATTTTTCACTGTTTAAATTTAATACTTTTAGACTTACTAAATTATAGTAATTGAGTGAATTTAAGATGCATAATTAAAGAAGAGTACCAAAATCCGTACAACCTCTATATCAGACTACACACGAGATGGCAGTTTAATTCATACAAACAATAATATTTTAACCAATTGGAAGTTGTTATATTTCTGTGTTCAACAGCATCAACCAATAATATAACGAGATGTGTCCAACTTCCAGGCTCAGTGACGTCATTATTTCCACGTTGGAAGCTGTCAATTTGTCACAGTCATGTTTTGTAAATTTTATTTACTAAAATTGCAGCAGCATGTTTTTACAAACTAATAAATGCATTGATTCTTAGATTAAGCGGTGATATAGAATAAAAATTAATTGAAAATTGTGTCCGTTGAAAAGTGATATGGTTTATGTAATGATGACCTCTAATTGGAATTATTGCAATCATGACTCTTGTTAATGAAGACATGGATAAAATGTGGGAATACTTATCCAAGAATGATCAAGAAGTTAATGTTGGAGAATACAATAAAATGGATAGCATCGCGCATAATATGGTACGTACTTACAACCTCAAATTTGGCTTTAACTCGTAATCACTACCGATAAGATTATAGGTATTATATTTACAACGCAAGCCCAATAACTGTAGAAGAATAGGGAAATGTATTTGGTGAAAGGAAGCAAGTGAATTAAATGACGCGCGCTGAAGCAATGAAGTTTTGACTGGCGTAACTCGTAGAACTGCTTTCATGGGCCTATGCCCCTACTTTTACCGTTACCCGCTCATTTTGTTATTGGATCGGACGTGGCTAGCGCGCCGGCTCATTTTATTGACGAATCCACGGGTTTCCTTATCTAATTAGTGTTAAACGCGCCTCAGTATTTTCCCCGTCAGTGTATCTCTCACCGAGCGGGATTGTGATCGTGTGTGTAACCGGCGTGACAAAACACAAACAAGTTATAGTTGTATTGGTTTGCCAACAAGGCACCATGCGGTTGCTTTTTCCATATGCCAATTAATTATTATATAGAGTGACTATAATTTATGACTGAAAAGGTGTCTGTTTGTGTACTTATATTACACATTTAGTGGTATATTTTAAGTTGATTGGATTTAATGAGTTGACAGACTCATGACTATCTAGGAAAATGGATAAGAAACTAGATCTTTTATCTCTGCTAGAGGTTTGTTTTATTTTATAGTTTAAATAATTTTTTTATAACATTTTAAATAATAGTAATAGCACAATTTGGACACAATATAAAATGGAAGAATAATAATGGTATCAATTTATTTTTCATCAGCAAAATATTAGTTTTCTAAAACAAATATTTTTTTAAGACCACAATATTAAGCTATAGCTATCTATATAAAGCTTTTATAGATATATTTTGAATGCCAGGTATCTTGGATGTATCTAAGGTTTCTTTGCTTAAACAACCTTAAAGATGGACACAAGTATTTCTAAATTAGATAAAGATACAACTAGCAAGCACTAGACTAAATAATGTTATTTTACCCAATCTAAAGTCAACCTATTTAGATACATTCCCCTTTAAAAAGATTCTAAATATAAAAAATAATTATAGATTTATTTAATTTTATAGAAATATAACTAAATATAATTTTATGATGTATTACTTTTGATTAACAGTTATATAAATTTGATTATGTATATCTGAGGCAAATTAGATAGTAGAATATTATTAAAATTTCTGCACCTTATTAAAATTCTATTGCATAAAATGCACCTCCTTTCACTTTATCTTAAAGTAAAAGTCATAAATGAAAGTAAGTTTCATAATGTAAAGTAAAAGGCTGCCTGAACATAACAAATTAATAAATTTAAGTTAATATTATCCCTAATATGCTAACAATAACTCATTAGCATTATATGTTGTAATAATCATTAAATATCAGATTCATTAATAAAAATTAGTTAAATCCTTTTAATTGTATGCCATTAGCATATTGATAATTGGCTGTCTGTTGCTTTTTGACTTACATTAGATGTCTAATTTCCGGGGTTCTTCTTGCTTATATGGATGTGGTACTGATCATAAAGCAGGAAATAACAAAAATTAAGTTTTGAGTCACTTAAGCAGATGTAAAAAATAATAAAGTATTTTGTCTGAAAAATACAGTAATTCCATGACTTAACATTTGTAAAAAATGTATACCCCATGCCTATGTGACAACTATGTATTTCACTTTCTTATTTAATTTATTAAGTATTTAAAAATATAACATGAAAATACTATTTAATTAAACTAAGCATAGCACTATCTTATATTAGTATATTGCCTACTACCTAATTGGTATTAATCATTTGGAGCCTTCTGCTCCAAAGTAGCAAAAATGTATGTTTACCCTATGCTACATAATGCAACTATTTTTGTTTGCGTAATAAGCATAAAAACGAAGCAGTATTTAAAATTAGTAAGCTATATAAGTTTAATTAGTGATTTATTGAAATACGTTTTTAAAAATATAAAATTCTTTCAGTCTGACTCATGGCAGACCACATCGGATGACTTTCTGGAGAACATATTTTCTCTCGAACAGGGTTCATTGGATTTCCTAGAACACTCCATACCAGATTTCAACCTATGTCCTAATGAGCCTGAAATTAACGGACTAAGTAGTTCCAGTTCGGATAGTGGGGTTTCCTCAGATCAAACTGAATTGTAAGTATACTAGCTTTTTTTAAATATTAGCTTGGAAGGTGGGCTATGGGGGCAGTGTATGTCATTGTCAAGTTGTAAGACGGTCTTAAAAATTACATGAATATTCTAGTGGATTTTGATTTTGGGTGATACATATAAAATGTATTATTTTGTAAGCATTTATAAATACGACAAAATATGCTCTATGTGCAAGTAATAATAATCTTTAATCTCAAAGAATGCAATTATGATTATTTTAACATAGTCAGCAAATTGATTGTGTTTCAAGATGGTTTCAAATGCTGACTAATATGTATTGCTTCATATACTGGTTTAATTTGTTAATATAATTAGTGACCTTATAACTATAATGTATTTTAACGCATGTTTTATGATAATGCATGGCATAAATGCACTGATAACACTTTGATGTATATAAAGATAACCGTCCCGTGGCAACAATATTTTTATTCGTAAAATATAATTATATGAAGTTTTGAATTGATGCATACAAAAAAAATAATTAAAATAACTAATACGTTTAGGTAGATCGCTTATATCATATATGGGTTCATTTAAGAGGCGATTAAACGGGAATCTCTTGGACAGGTGTGCCTATATATATGGCAATAGGCCACATCGGTCACATCAGGTGGAATTGTGGCAAAATGTCTGTCTTCTGTATAAAAAAACCTTATTGTAAAAAAAATATATACTAACTTGTACCTCCATTAAGTGTATTTTTTTCCTGTAAACGTTATGTTGCGTGTTAAAATTATGGAAGACAAGAGAGGAACACCTATTTATAATTTAACATAATAAGCAATGGATCTTATTCTACCGTGACGTAACATGTCATCATACCTCACCTCAACCTCAGATTATGTTCATGGCCTTTACGGGCAACTTAGCATTTGAACTGTAGACTTAAATGTATGCAAATATTGTTGCTATGACATGTTTTATATATAATCTTGTATAACCTCTGTGTCTATCAGGGTATGTAATGTTCGGCAAAGTAGCGGGATTATGAGTGATGCAACGAATACGAATATCAAACCGGCCGTATGGCAAATACGAATAATTCAACAAGGCAAAAACTAATACACACTTTTATTTTATATACTACTATTTTTAGTAATTGAAATTAACTACTGACAAATTTTTGTTCAAAAACACAACATTTATAACTTATCAGGCATTTAGCCATAGGCATTAATGACAAATACTTTTGGGCCAGTTTTTCAGCTTCGGGAAATACTTATTCGGCGAATACGCGTATTCGTGTTCGCATTCGTTGCATAACTAGAGATAACATACATCTACAACTTACTGTAATTTTATTGCGATCTATATGTGCATTCAATAATTTCTAACTAGTATAAATAAATAGAGAAAAAATGCCTATACGAAGCAAAGAAAAAAGTGTAGTAACTCTCTGTGACATTATTAGTCTCGGCACGTAACTTTTTTCATTGCGAGGGCGATCTTTATATGGAAGAAATACAAACCTTTATGCCATTTTATTGACCGATATGGGCATTTTAAATGAACCCCCAATTTGTAGGTTGCCAGTAGAAATCCTAATAGTGTTCTATAGCCCTAGATAATTATTAGAATTAAACTTAAATATAAAAAGGAAATCTGTCATAATTGTCTTCAACCATGCTTTGTTGCATTTGGTTACGCCATTGGAATTTAAATCGCACCTGTCTTTATGAATATCGATGAATCATTTGGAATTTGTTATGTTAACGGGTCTTCCGTAACCGCTCAACAACGAAATGTTTGCTAAGTAACCACACTTTTAATCGTACCGCGACATAAACGACTAGGATTACAATTTATAAGTATGTATGTGGGTACTTATTATTCGATAAATACTCGCTGTGATGCACGAGTTTTGCTGTATAAACGCAAATGGGCATTAGCACACCAACCTCTCCCTGCGCAAGGCATATATTATCATACATTTGATATTTAGGGGTAAGATTCGAAATATGTCTGTCGAGGAATTGGAATTTTAGATACGGGAGTCATCATTTGCGCTAATTCGACTCTGAGTTAATGTTTTTGTTAATCAGGCCAATACTAATAATAGGTTCCTAACCTAATATGGAATTTGGTTGTAGTAGCCCGCGATTCTTTATCCTATTCGTGAAAGTGGAATTCGTGCTTTGCAAACCATCTCGAGGAAACCGGCGTGTCTTATCATCAAAAACCACATCTCGCGTCAAGCACAGATGACTGAATTCGAGAGCATGAGATATTCATTTGAACTCTATTATCAATTATGGGGCAGTTTCCTTTAGAGATAGAACCGGTCACAGACAATCCTATGTCGACTAAATTTGTGAGAGTTGTGTTACGCTTATCGCTAAACCACTGAACAGTGTTTATTTTGATTTAGCGATGGTTTTAAAATAATATATTGGAGATGATCCATTAGTTAATGTTAGATATGTACACGCAATGAAAATATTAACTAGAATAAAACTTTACAAATTCGATGTAACAATTTATTTTACATAACTTGTTTCGTTAATCATGGAGCTATCACTCGATTCCTTATGGGTGAGATTCAATTCAAATCAATCCAATACATATTCGACGTTCGGAAGCCAGTATTAGCCCTTAATATTGTTTCTAATACTAGAAGTCCCTCCCTGATTATTTAAATGTGTAGTACTTGCTTTAACCAAAGACAGTAAGTTATTAAATTTTAAAACTAAATGTGTTAAGTTCTTAAATGCATATGCAACAACTAAGAACCGAAAAAAATATGTATAAACAGGAAAAATAGCTAATTTTGACTCAACTTTGAAATTCCAAATTTATTAAAGCTCTACTCAGTTGCATTCTATATATGTATCAATTACTAAATAATTAAAAAGCAATGTATAAATTTTAAATAATAAGTCGACGTTATATCGAGGTCACATGTTATCATTACTTGTTCGTATCATTACTATCTTCTATATATCCTTTCCGTCACCTTGCTGTTTTTAAAACATACATTGTATTACATAGATCTGGTAAATCCGGGTACCTGTGTTACATGCTTATTAATATGTAAATGGAAACCAATTGAACCTTTCAAATTACTGCAATTAGCGGCCGTAGGTTGGAGTATAACAATATTATAGATATTAAAAACTCTTGCTCACCCAAAGTCAAGGCTATATGCGTCTACGGAAAACATTTCTACAGCGCCACAGGTACAATTGTTTAAAAATTTCGTAACTGATAATAACGTAGATTACATTATTTACATAACTTTTGAGTGGTTTCCAGTAATCGTTGTCAACGAGAGCCAATCATAATAATTATGTCCCAATGTTTGAAAACAGTTGTTTTTCATTAAATTATGTTTGAGATAAACGCTGGTCCTGTTGTGCTTATTATAATGTTTCTAATATTGACGTTCATAAGTGGGCATAGTTACCTATATGAATAAATTAATTTTGTGGATAAAAAATACAAGGAAATATAAAACTGTTATCGTTTATTTTATCATTTTTAATTATTTATACTATAGATTACGGTTGGAAGAGTCAAATTCTGTACTAGAAACAATCTTTATACCTCCATTCTTGACTTGAATTGACATAATGTCCTATAACCCCTAGATGCGACAGAAGGCGTCCAGTCACTGTGGCCAGTCATCTCCATTTTCACACATAAGATTTTTTTAGTATCTATATATATCTTTCTTATTGATTGATATACCGAATAATCTGTTCGAATTACTTAGCGTAAGTTTGCTTGGTAAATATTAAACAATTCTTAATTCAAATTAGATTAATATTACAACACAATCCAGGACTTTACACAACCATGATTTATTTAAACAAGAAAGTCAAGTTCATTCACTTTCTAAGATACGAAGCAAAACATAACAGGTTCTTGACCAGTTGAAATTAATTTGGTATTATGTGATTTCATCTCATGTCTTAAAAATACGATGATGGAATTTAAATAACAGGTTTGATTTAAATAAAATACTTTGCGTGAAACACGTGGAAATCTAATAATTCCTAATTCTTAGGAATTAGGAATTATTACCTACCTACCGTACCTAGGTAAGGCATTCTAAAATCATATTTCATTAGTTTTCTTTAAAACTAGTAGACTCGGCCAAGCGTTGCTGTGGCTAAGATTTTTGCTATATTACATAGTAGTAAACTATTCAAGAGAAACGGCAGGAGAACACCAATTCACCATGCTTTTTTGGATGGTGGTGTCCATTAAATTGTAGCTTATGTGAAACGTTGGTATTTATTTTGATAAGGATCAATACCTAGGTACAAATAAAGAGCCTTTTCTAGCGGTGATATTTAAAAAAATTAATAAAAGGACGCTTATTGTGACTTAACTATAAAAGATAGAGACATGCTGTCGTGACATTTTTTATAGATAGTAATGTGTCCTAAAAATTTTAATACATCATTTTGTTCTATCATTAATAGTTTTCGCAGCGCACGCGATTGAAGGAAGTTTTTTGTTTATTTTTTTACACCTTGGGTTAAATTATTCAAGTTTTAGTAAGCATCCCTAATTTTTTTGGAAATTAAACATAGCCTATGTCACTCGGGAATAGGGTAGCTTGCCAACGGTGAAAGAATTTTTGAAATCGGTCCAGTAGTTTCGGAGCCTAATCATTTCAAACAAACAAAAAATCAAATCTTTCCTCTTTATAATATTAGTATAGATAATCGAAGAGTAACAAAAAGCATAAATGTTCTACCATTTTCTTTATAATGATGAAGTTTACATTTCGGTTGATTTTTATACCAATTTCGTTTCCCTTCAATTGTACAAATATGGAAGATTAAATTACTTCCTTAGAGGCGAAAATATTATAGTATACTTGCGATCACTTACTTGCCTTGATGTGAAATGTCGGCGTAAATACAGAAACCCTTCCTCAAGTTTATAATTGAATGCTTGAAATAATTTCTACAGATGAAGGTTGAATCAGAGATTGTCCTTTTCAGTCTCGTGCCATTTGAAAATAAATAACAGTGACAACGTTCTATGGCTATTTGAGGCTTCTGTCGTTGATTATTGACCCCCCTCCCTCCCCCGTGTAACGCGCCGTAACGTTTTTCTGTACCCAATAGTAAAACGTTAAAATACCATTATGTGCTGGAAAGTCGAAAATAATATTAACATTAACGCGTAATTCAATCCCCGCCCCGCATCGTAACGTTTTACAAAAGGATCCCCCCTCCAAAATTCATTACTTAATACTTGTTCATATGACGCGATTTATTTCGAAGAAAAAGGGCTACGTTACCATCCATATTGGGGAACTATATGGACTAAATAATTAAAAATATTGTTAAACATTATTGCTGCATAGTGTTCTTATTTACATACTGAAACGTAAAAGAGGCCAAGGAGATACATTGAAAATTCATTTGTGTCAATATTACTTGGAAATAAATGCTTAGTTCAGTGATTTTTGGGTATTTCTTATGCGATATTATGCCTTTACCTCGTCATACTGCACTTTATTGCGTCATTGCTTGTTTATAATGCCACGTACACATTCTATTTTCACATCACCTACTTATATACTATTTTATGCCTGTCAAACTTTGCGGAAGTCCTTCAGTAATAATTATTTCGCGAAGGAAACATTTGTATGGTGCTTGTAATATTAAACTTTAAGGAAAAATACATATACGCAAGATAGGTCTAAAATTAAGGTTTCATTGTAATGGTTTATAGAATTCCCTTTAGAAACTTGAGTATTGTGTACAAATAAAATGAATTTTCATTAAACCATTTGACTAAATATAGTTTATAAATATATTTATATAATTTTATTTTTCTAACAGCGATTTCGAACAACAACTATCGCCGTATCTCATACAAAACTCGTGCGACGAAGAGGTCAATGGCCCTAAGCCCATGAGCCCAGGTCAAAATGTGATCATCAATGATGGATCTACAAGCCCAGGCCGAGATGTAATTATCAATGACAACTCCAGCTCTACTGATTTTGATATTTTGGACTTCGAACAGAATGTTGTGCCCAGCTTCATCAATACATTCCCAGGTATGTTTGAACAGTTGAGACCATTGCGCAATTGTTATTATTGTGTATTTAAGGTTATTGAGGAAAATTTCCATGTTTTATTTATATCAAGAAAAATTTGGTATGGCTTCTGAATTGTTTAATTTAAATGTCTATGCAATCCCTACTTTTGTTTACTGACCAATCATAAGAACAACGACCGAATTGTAACGAAACCATTTAACAAAATAGGGATTAATTATCTGAAATAAATTGCTTGTACTAAGTTACATAAAAATTAATGCTAATTAAATACCTCACGGGACAGAAAGTAAGGGAAATGTAGACAATGCAGATATTCTGAGTATGAATTTGGTTTACTAATTTAATTGGATTAGAGACAGGACGACTGCCCTTGAAATTAATTTATTAACTTTTTCGTATTTATTTTAGCTTAGAAATCTAATTATCGATAAGTCGCTCTAATAACGCAACATGTAATGTATATATTAAAAAACAAATTTCAAAATTTTGCTCGACGGGCTTGCACAAATCAGTTTAATAGAAATTAGGCTGTTTCAACAAACCATACTTTGATGATGTAATTTAGTATCCGATGCATTAAAGAACGAGTATATTGCTTTGTGAACCGTTTCTTTAGTTATGGCCATATTAAAAAATTTGTTACTTGGAAGAGTCGATTTTCCATAAGAAAATTTCACTAAGTCTTGCTATATAACCGATATGTTTTTGTATCAGAGATCACCACAACTGTGCTATTTATTACTATTAGCAAGATTGTTCCATTTTTAAATTCATATTTTGTTTTTACTGCTCGGTATTAAAGTGTCTGGCTTGACGGGGTAACTTCCACTTAAGACGCAGTTTCAATTTTGTTATTCGCAGTAGTTAAATATTTATTCAGTAGTAAATTGAAACGGAAATAAAACACTAAATATAGTAAAGATAATTGTAATCTTCTGCTTGATAAAATTATTGATACACAGAATTATAATTCTATCGTGGAGGTTATAAAGACTTGCTTTAGAAAATAAAATTGACCAATAATATTTTTAAAATGTATGTAATAATCTTAAATATTAGTTGTATATATTTCCATCAGCTGGTAATCAGAAACCTAAACTTATTTTTTTAGCGTAGACTTTTTATCTTAAAATTAATCGTATCTATCAAAAAATAAAAATAAATATCTATGGCCGGCTAACCTATGATAATCTCTATAAGTAGCATTTTTAATATTGTTAAACTATAATTATTTTAGTCAAGCCGGAAAGAAAGCGTCGCTCGTCCAGCTCAAGTCAAGTGACAGTTCAGGCGAAAGTTCAAAGGCCAGCAATAAAAATTCCCGCCACATCAGTACAGAAACCCCAACTAGTTGTCAAAGCCCAACCACAGAAGCCGATGAAAGTTGCCAACATACAAGTGATAAATCCACAGACTAAAGTCTACTCGAAACCTGTGGAATCAGTCGCGCCACAGAGAAGAGTAATCCGCGTAGCTCCCATGGCTGGCAATCCCAGATCAATATTGTTGCCAGTGACAATAAAGGATATGAAGGATTTGAAATCGATAAAAATAATAAATGCAGCCGATTTGAAAAATGCTTCGAATATTAAAATTGCAGCTGCCAATTTGCTGTCACAGAGTAAACGGCACGAGGAATCGAGAAGTGATTACGAATATGACAGCAATATGAATTGCGGTAAGTTATTTTTCTTGTATAGATCTTTAATTTTTAGAAAAGTATATAGGATCTTCATGATCGACAAAAACCATCTCAGAATACAGATTACAGAAGTATGTGTAGTAACGTAGTAATCAAGCATTTGTATGACTTTCATGTTCACTTCGTTAATGTTGACCGTTATGTAAAGGTGAACAAAAAAAATGTACTTAAAAACCTGGGTCCATTAGATCCATAAAAAAATTAACAGTTCATTGCGCTCTTAACTATCGCACTCGTCTCTTTCTGTCAAAAGTTTTTTACGCTGTGATGAAAAGAGACAAATGAGTACTTTAGTTATAACGTTGCAATTTGACTGATTGTGTTTAATGAATAATTAATTTTTGAGACAAATGGAGTAGACCCAGGATTCCGTTTGCAAATGTCTCATATTCTACTTATATATTCTTAAAATCGTATCAGCAAATGGCAAACCATTTGCATTTCCTGAAATACCGACAACGCGCTTGCGAGCCAGAAGGCTGTGTTAGTCTATGGACGACGGTATCACTTTTCATCAGGTGAGCCCGTTGGCCCCCTGTACTATAAATAAAAACAGCCTTGTTCCTAATTGTTATGTCTCTAATCATTGTTGATAAAAAATAAGGAATTATAATCTATTAAGAAAGTCATTAGCTTTTAAACCTGACAGATACTTTCATAGTTATAACACGATACCGTAAAAGCCAGACCAGTCTCACTGTCTCTTACATTCTCTTTTAAAGTAGGTTAAGGTTCTGAATCACCGACTTGATCTTTGTAATATAAATCGTTCTAAAGATATCTGGTTTTCTATTATTGCATATTCATTTTAGTATCAAATATTGTTTGGATTACATCATTTTTACTCCTCTTTCGCCTTTCTGTCAAACTGTTTGCGATGTGTTAGTAATAGATGAGTAAGCCCTAAAGACTCTAAAAAAACATCTAAAATACTACATTTGTCCAATCATATATGTAAGGCTAAATTCGTAGTAACCCACAATAATATATAATAGGGTCTGTCAATTAATACTTATTTCCTTATCCTGTATTTATTTTATTTTTCTCATTCAATGTTGTTTTGACTAGCCAGTGTCCAAAAAGAAAAAGTTAATTAAAAATAATCCTCCACAGAGTGTAAATTTTGAGGAAAGCTATCAATAAATGAGAAGAGAATAAGATATTGTACGTTAAAATTGTCGTAAAATTTACTACTATGCGAGGTCCACCTCCCGAGTATTTCACATCTTATTTGCTTGCATGTCTTTTCCAGTTGGGACCCATTAATAGAAATGCATAAACGCTAAATGTCGGTTGATTGACTCATTCACAGAGTCAATTGTTTGATTTACTCGATTACACTATTCCGTTAACTGAGATTCGGTCAATGGACTTGAGCGCGCGCAGAATATTTAAAGGTTCACTCAAGGTTATGGTGTTAGACAATTTACATTTTTGGCGCTTAAATAGAGATGTTTATTAGAACTTTTTAATAATTATAATAATAGACTTTTAATTCAGATATTTTTAGTTTTCAACACGTTTCTATTTCAATATTTTTTTTTGGTATCTGTGTGCCTGTTATAAGAACTTAGCAAAGTATATAAGTATAATTCACAAGAGAAATTAAATGTTACTCTTTAAAAATAATGGTTATAAAATTTCAATTTTAAATTGTTTCCCGTAGTTTTTATGTTGAAGAATATATTAAAAAGTTTTAAATATAAGTGAAAAACATGATAGCAACTATTTTTTTTAACGTTAATTATTTTTCAAGTTAAGAAAGCGTGTAATTCTTTAACTGTAACGATTATAATTTTCTAACAATTTAGGTTAGTGTTAAAATAATGTCTTATAAACCTACATTTAACATTCGTAACGGAAATTAAGAAAACTTGGTGAAAACACTAATTTCATACGTTGTAGACACGAACCGCGTTACAGGAAATCGCGTTGTAGGAGTATTCTCGTTATACCGTTTTTTTAAACTATTCAAAAACTAGGAACATGAATTTAATAAAGTTATTTAGTTTAAATTTATAACAACACTCAAATAGAACTGAACTGCTATGAGAACTACTAAAATCCTGACACTCGAGAGACAATTGATAATGTTGGTTTTTAGGCAGAAGTGGTCACTAATGTAACTCGTTATATTTATAATATTCTTTTAAAATACGATGTATGAGTAATAAGTACCGCCCCCGCTAAGTAGTTAAAAGTGTATAATGTGCTGAACGTTGTTCTAGATCCATTTCTCGAATCCCAACAAATCAAAAATTTCTTGGCGATGTTAAATAGTATGATTAAATGGTCAATTACGCTTAGAATCGACACGGACTTTTATATAATATATTAAGCTTCAGGCCACTTTATAAACACTTTTTAATATACACACAATTTAACACACCTTTGTTAATTCCTCTATCGCGATTTTTCTTATACGGATATTAACTTGAAATTCTCTTTCCATTCGCTTTGCTCAAATAATTGTATTATGACTCACCGTACTAGTGACGCATATTCAGAAATGTTCAATGCATTATCTTTATCCCTTTTTTTAACAAAGGTTTTAACAAAAAAACTCGGGTCGTACAAGATATAAAACTAAGAATTTATCCACCTTATCAGTCCTTGAGTATTATCGAAATAGGTGAGCGAAAATACACGAAAACAATAATTATATAATATCTACTTTTCGATGAATTACAAAATAAATGACGAATGCCATCTGTGCAACGCGTGTTGAGGAATTAAGTAATATAATAAAGTTGTAATTGGAGTATGGTTATATTAAATATCTATGAAGTAAATCGATTTTAATCTGACCTATAATCTATATAAAAATAGTAGATAAACTATCTACTAAGCTAATAGAGCAAGCTACTATTAAGACAATTTTTAATCAATCTAAATAAAATTAGTCTCTGCTTTTCTGACCTGTATGAAAAAAAACATTTCGCGCGTTATTCTTTCCCTTTTTTAATCTAGTCAGCCAGTTACGTTTTCATACAATGTTCGTAATCAAACTCTTTACCGAATAAAATATTTACTAATTATACACAAATTATTTTTAATCCCTGGAGATTACAAACAATTTTAGTCTCTGATACTCTTAAGTCTAAACCAACGTCTTTTGGAATAGATGTGATAATAAAGTCTTATAAGTATATTATTCGCACGCAGTCATGTAAAACCTTTGATAATAACACGTAATAGGGGTCAAGCGATAAAGCCAGGTTATAAGTGTAACCAAGCGTTATATTATTGCTTATACGAGATGGGTTTTCCTTGTTGGGGAAGAACATGACTTAATAAAGAACTCAAAAATATACATAATATTATAGTTAAATAGGAAAAGGGAAAGATAAATTATTAATTTTGTTTTTCTGCTTAAATTATGCTACAGATTTTTTTCTTTACGCGTACACATTAGCTTCTTTAGCTGATAAAATGCGAGCAATTAATATTTTAACTCTACGTAGAATGCTTTATGCTATCTTCCACAACTCCAATATTACTTTATTGATAGAAAAAATCAAGTTTATTTTTGTAAAAAAAATCACTGAAATATTCTAAAGATGCTAGAAATTAAATATTCGATCGTAACACGTGTATTACTGAACTGCCTTTCTTCATAAGTTTCTTGGAAAATATATTTGAAGTTAAAATATGTACATAATACGCTCTTTATGTCCACGTTATTGTCAATGTCACGCCTCAGAATATTTCATTCTAAAAGATCCTAGTATCCGTATCCGTCGAATTTCTCATTTGTTTCCTAAGGCCTACAACTATCAGTATGTAATTCACTGAGTCACTATACAACTATATTACTTATATTAATTAACACTTTGTTATGTTTTAAGTATATATACAATCTTGTATCAAGCTATCCCTTCCAGGCAACCCTAAGTGCATAAGTAAATTAACAAATGTAAAACACAGATAATTATAACGACTTATACCATTACACTATCTAAAATAAAATAAAAAAACTAACAGCAATAATCTATTTATATATTCTATAAAGAAAGACACGGCATCGTAATTGAGAAAATAAGAAGCGTGAACTACGTATTACACGTAGATTTGTTTACCTATGATACCTATATCTTGTTATTAACTCTAAAGTACTCGTATCACAACATTGCATCATAAAGCTCCAACGTGTCGAACAATAGCGTGGCTGTCGAGAGGATCCGTTTCTCATTCAATATCCTTAAATAAAAAATCTCTACAGTACAGTTTAGTTAATTTCAATACATTTTCATACTTTAATGAAGCTATCTAACGAAACACGAGGTAAACTAACGTAACGTAATTATGAGTCGTATCACAATACAACAAATATTACATCATAAAGCTCCAACGTGTCGAACAATAACGTGGTTGTCGAGGGGAACCATTTCTCATTTAATATCCTGAAAAAAAACAGTTCCTAGTCCTTGATTTTAGTTAGTTTCAATACATTTTCATAATGAAATGAAGATATCTATCGGAACACGATGTAAACTATTGTGTAACGTAATTATGAGTCAAAATTAGTTAAGGTCCAACGTGTAAACAGAAGAATATTATGAGAGTGTTAATCATTTCCTTCCTTAGACCTTACTGTTATACATTTTCATTTATAAAAAAGTAAACAAAACGTAAACAAATGCCTCAGACTCAATATCATGTGACTCACTACGTAATAGTGTGTCAGCGCGCATAAAAATATTGCATCATGAAAGCTCCAACGTGTAAATAGCAACGTGGCTTTCGAGAGAAACATCTAATTTCTCATTTATTTCCTTAGATGACTCAGGCAGCGACCACAGCGACGATGATTCCGATCAGAAGGACCAAATTCACGACGGGAGAAATGGATATCCTCGTCTCGTTCTTACATCTGAGGAACGCCGTTTACTAGCAAAGGAGGGGATTACTCTGCCAACAAGCTATCCGCTTACAAAGCACGAAGAAAGGGAATTGAAAAGGATACGCCGCAAGATTAGGAATAAGATTTCGGCGCAAGATTCTAGGAAACGCAAGAAGGAATATGTTGATGGATTAGAAGACAGGTTAATATTTTTTTTTCTGTTTTCACATTGGATTATCCTCTCGCCTCTGATAAAAAATTTATAATGATTTAATTTCTTTTTTTATATATTTATTTCTTAGTCTAGAATATTTACGCTTAATATACCCAATATACGCTATAATATTATTGTTAGTAGTAACTACTATATATTTCCAGGGTCAAACAATGCACAGCGGACAATCAAACCTTAATGAAGAGGATCAAACTGCTACAGTCACAGAACCAGACTCTTACGCAACAATTGAAGAGGTTACAGGTAATTAATTATTTTATTTTTATTTATAAATTTAAATCCAAGATCCAAATTTAAGAAAGATAAATATTTGTTTCCTTACTTTGTTCCATACCTAAGTCATATTCCATAAAGATATATTATTTTTATTATTGCTTAAATATTATGAATAATAGTGCCTGAAGGGCTACACCACAGTACAAATTTCTTTACTTAAAACCTAAATAGTTAAGAAGAAAATATAAAAAAAACAAAAACGAAACGAAAATTTAAAAAAAATTTTTTAATTTCATATACATATAACAGCTATCTTTAATTTAGGGAGCCAACCAATCACCCCATGTTGTCCAAAAAATACCTTTTTAAAGATACCCTTGCAATAGTAGAAGTTTATTTTGAAATCTTATATGTTTTGTTAAAAAAAAACTTAATTCGTTTATTGATTTTTCAGAGCGTATTAACCGGCGTAACGCCATCTAGCGGCAAAGCGCAGCCGGCGACATGTCTCCTAGTTCTCCTGTTGTCCGTAGCGTTAGTTGCCTTACCGTCAATGCGTGAGGAGCCAGTACGAAGGAATGAAAGGGCTTCCACCACTCCAGCTGCAGTTACTAGAGCACTATTGTCTGCTACAAACAGTAAGGATATTTTTATACTGTTTATTTTGATTTTGTGTTTTTGTGAATCCTTCCTTATCCTAATAGGGTAAAAATTTATATTTCAAACAAATACTCTACGTTCAAAATCGGGTTTCAATGATATGAAAGAAATACAAAAATAGATAGAAACAAATGTTAACTACTCAGTTACCGCTTAAATTTAAATGATAATAATATAGTACAACAAAGTACCGTGTGAAATAGAAATATATTTCAAATGTTACTCCAAAATCCATTTTAAATTTATAGATAATAACACATTGTATAGTTTTTCGAATCTATTCATGAGTTCTACTCGAAGTATGTATCTTCGTTCTTGCTTTTAGTATCAAATACGCAGTAACAATTTTTTTATAAATTTATTGGTACAATTTTATTACGAAATTTTTCAATTTAATGGTCTTTTCATTAATTTCTTATACAAAATAATTATGTAAATAACATAATTAATTTTAAATTAGTTCTAGTATAGTAATAAAATTCAAGGTTTTTGTGTTAATTAATTTTTTAGGTATTTTTAACAGTTTTCTTAGACAAGCGATATTTCAGGCTATTGAAAAGCTATACAATATTATGGTACATAGAGATTTACTATAATACCTCTTTACAACATGCAATAAATAGATAAAACTATCGCGAAAATCTTATATTTAGTTTTGGTCTTTGAAACATTTAAATTATTCTTTAAAAAATATTAGGCTTCTCCTTTCGTGCCGTTTTAGCGTCACATTATCTTTTATATCAAGATCATACTTTAGTATAGGTAATATATACGATGTATTATATAAAAAGAGCTTTTGCCAGCCCTTGATTACGAATGGTAATAATGAACCCAACCCGGACGTTAGTGAATGTCCTGAACGGTTCAGTTGTAAAGAGAAAGTACCAAAATGTACGCTTTCAATTCAATTCATTGTGCTTGCTCAACTTTGTTGCTTTGATTTATTATAGTATAAATAGAACTAGTATTAAAATAGTTTTATATTTCTTTCTATTATTAAATAATATCTAGATGAACTCGTGAACTTCGTATCACCTACATATATTTGTAACAAAACGTAATACAACATTTTTAAAACAGACCAAAGACAACCTCATACTACAGCCAAGAAACCATGAAGGCACCTATATGACAACCAAGTGAAACTTCTTTATTTCTAAAAAGACATAGGAACACAATAGGTATCATTTAGGATTTTATTGGAAAATTTAATTGTCGTTTTTAGTATATTCTTTACTTATTATTTATGTTTCCCACTGTTTAAACCTTCTCTGGACTTCCACAAATAATTCAAGACCAAAATTAGCCAAATCGGTCCAGCCGTTTTCGAGATTTAGCGAGACTAACGAACAGCAATTCATTTTTATATATATATAATAGAATAGATAATAGATAGATATATAGATATAGATAGATAGATTATAGATTACTACATATAATAATACTGTATTAGATATATCAGGCGACATGTCAGACTCGAAAAATAAACTGGTACTAAGTAGTCCAGGCTGAAACAAATAAATATATGTAGAAATTTGATCTAGAGCCTCTATTTACAAAAGTCTTTAGTGGACAGATGTAATGCCTCTAACCTCCGTAAAAAGTTCTTTAAACTCAATAGTAAATCCGTATATAAGTTAATTTGTCATTTATGTAACCGGACTGATAAGGCCGGCGCTTACGCAAACCAAACTCGAAATATCAGTTATCTCGCTGCTTGACATTTCATACGGTTTTTATATCAAAAGTCGAACACGATAAAATATGTAGGTTTGTAGGTAACTTCAGAAATTTTAAAGTATGTTTAATTACAACAAAATTTGTTAATCGGCTAAAAAGATCTTGAATAATTATTAACTAACGGCTAAAATCATAAATTAGTTGTATTTTACTTACTTTAATAATACATAGATTTACTAGTTATTATTATGCAATACAGATGGCGCTGTTCTTAAAATAATTGCATCACTTAAATAGTATTTATTTTAAAATTACGCGCAGCATTAGGGACAGCCCTGTGTTATGGGTGGCTAGACTTATCTTCCGTACATACACAACCAGTTTTTGCTAAAGAATTAAACGAGAATTGGATAAAATAAATATAAAAAAACGACTTCGACCTATGTATGCGTTATGTATGCTTTTATATACGCGTATGATTGTTAGGTTAGTTAATAATACGTATTTCATGTATTTATATTGGTACTCAATTTTTTTTTCTTTTTTAGAAATGATCCTCGACGAGGCAGTAATAGATGACGGGGAATTCAACATGGACGAGCTGATCACCTTCAACCGCGCGCATTCCGACCACGATTACCAAGTCGTCAAGCAAACCGAAACCAAGCTTCCCGGAGGTTACATTGACCTACCAATAGACGAAGACTGGCCCCCAAACAAGAAACGTATGAAAACAGAGTTCGACTACGGAGACGGCAAGGACTACATTGCACCCATAATCAGACAAGAAAACTACGAAACACCAAAAGCTTTACCGAAATATGAAGAATTTGACAACACTCTAACCAATACCTTGCTTTCCACTGGACGGAAGATAGGCGAGCTTTTGAACGCATTTTCCTTGATTCCAGTTAAAAATGAGGATATTTTGGTCGAAGAGGTCGATTTCGATTCGAGAAACAATACTGAGGTGAACAGTTTTGTCGTCAATGGCACTAATGCTATATAAGATTTTATTTTTGAGATAAAATACTATTTTATTGAAAGTAAAAACGAAAGTTGGTGATTTTAAGTCAAATGTACACTATATAACAGTTTTTAATTAGCTGCTGAGCCTTTAAAATAGTATTTTATTTTTGTTTCGATTTTATTACATATATTTTCACGTGTCAATCAATTCCTTATTTAAGATTTATTAAGGAAATATTATGTAGGCTTAGGAAATCTTGTCCATTATTTAGATTATATTTATTTTATAGATTTTAATATATCTTTTGCGATATTTTTTTAGCTTTTTTTATTTAAGCATTTGTTCGGTGCAATTAAGTTATGATCTTCAGTGTTATCGTAATATTATTAGTTTTAAGTATACTTTAATATTTGGTTACATTAAGATGTGTCGATACAAAATCGTTGTATTTGGAATGTGAATGTTTAATAAAATATGAGATATTGCTTAATCTTTCATTTGCCTCTGCCCTTGTATTCTCATAACACCATTGTTATTGACAACTCCGTAATAGTCTACAGGCAAAGGAAACAGGAAAAAATCAATACAAATTGTGAGCTTTGGTACATTATATTTCCAATGGAAAATTCATTAGTAATAACTATCAAATGGACGTGGACCTGTATTCCACGTCTGAAGAATGAGATTGTTTTAATGTATGATATTTCAACAGAAACTAACAATAACGTGTTATATTTTAAGCTGTATGATACATATTAAATTTGTAAATGATTTTGAAATATTGGGCTTGTTTTAACTGCGTTCTGTCGGCTACTTTGAATTAGGACCATGTTTTACTATTGTTGATTAACAGATGATTTATTAATGACTTAGAATCTATACAAATTGTTATTATAAAATGCTACTCTGAGCAAGATGGCGTCGCACTAGTGACGTACTATGCTTATAAACACGTAAATAAACGTCAAGCGTTTACGGGTTATATATTCTGTGATTTGTGTTTACTTACAGATTATATTTCGACCATAAACAGTCTCCGAAGAAATTGAACTCCAAGTCAGTATTATTAAACAGGCAAAGACATTATTTACAAGCATGTACGTCATCGTTGGACGATGGACTAATTCCAGTTTGAAAGTGACGTTTAGCAATAAATATTTTAATTAGGATGTTTGATAAAATAATGGTTATTTTACCCCAGAACGATTTTAAAGCTATGTTTATACTGATTAATAACACTTAAGCTTTCATTCTCTCAAATATCCTTAATAGAGTTTTGGGGCTTTATATTGAAATAATACATAGTTGGTTTGGCAATTTATTTAAGCGCCATCTTCATTTACTGATAAAAAACACTTTATAATGCTTTACGACAGCCGCCACCTTACAATGGACCAACTGGTATATTGGGGCTAGGCTGCGACTTGCAAGCTAACGGTTTTAGAAAATTGGGGGCTGACTATTTGCCTGCTAAAAACACTTAAGCAAAATACACACCTGCCTACCGAATCTGCAGTAAAAACGCTAAAAATTAATAATTTTATTAAATCTTGAGACAAATCTCTTATTATATTAATAGTAAATGACGAATTTAAAAAATACGTTCGTCTTGTTTCGGGCACGTATTAAGTATTTAAATGATAATTAATACGCATATAACAATAGAATTACAGACAATCTTACTAAAAGTATATTTAATTAATTACCTTCAATCTTTATAACCTTTGATGACGCAAAAGTGCAATTTTTTGTTTACTTTAAATACGGATGTGCATCATATTTTTATGCTAAATAATATTTTAATTATATGAACTTTTTCAATACCGTAACTTGGTCCTACTTTGCTCCAAAATCTGCTCCAAACTTGGACTTATTAAAATTGCGTGGAAACGTTTTCATTTAAAATTGCTATTTAAATTTAGATTGTAAATTTAACACCTTGGCTACAGAATCTAAGTGATGAAACTACCATTTTGTAGCGTTTTATTATATATATAAAACAATGATTAAGGAGCAATGTTACCCGTCAAGTTGGGTAACTTTGCTCCTAAATTTTATTTGTACTGTAATTCGGTTGTTTTAGAACTTGGAGCATAGTAAGAAGCTTAAAACTGTAACTATGCTCCAAACCAATTTTTATATAAAAATTTCAAATTACTAATAAAACCAAAAATATACAATTAATCATAAAAATCTCTTTATTTTACTCTAATCAGTCCTCATTAGATAACAATCAGCCTTTTATTCATTTTTACTTATAACTATAATAGGTACTATATGTTAGCAAGTTTGACAAACTACCATTAGAAAACAAAAATAAATCTTTTATGAAATTAAAACTCTTCTAAGACAAATTAACATCTGAAATTAAGTAAAAGTCTTTTACAAAAATAAACATTGTATGAAGTGGCCCCTATAAAATTTTTGAGATCAGAACCCCCAAATCTGATCGAGTTCAGGGACCGAAAAAAAATCACGGCGTCCCACTTTTTTAGGGGGATCAATACATCCCAGTATTTCCTCCCAGTCATAACGGATTTCATCTTTTGGTTTAGGCCATTTCCAAAATTTTATGGACCGTTTCATTGAGGATATAAGTGGTCCTTGTTTTTCAATTTTGGTTATTACACCTGGAAATAGTTCGCCTTCATATCTAAATGCCACAAATTGACCTACTTCCTTGATAAGTGGCTTGAAATTTATATTTCTCCAGGAGCAAAGTCACCCCGCCATGTGGAGCATAGTAGGACCGAGCATCAAGAAGAGGTTAGGTTTTGACATTAATAATCAAAACAGTGAAATATTATCGATTATGGTTAAAGGATTAGATGTACGACTACATTAAACCGTTCTTAACTCGATTCCCTCGTTAAATTTTAAGATGCAGACGGCTTTTTCGAAGTATTTTTTTTTTGCTGTAGGCTACGTGATGAATCAATTACACCTGACAGTCGAAAAAAATGGCGGATTAAAAAAGTTCCTATTCAGTGTTGCCACTATAAATTTATTTTTACCGATTTCGTTCAGAAATGGACAGTTACATAGAATAAGTTTGGCACAGATAAGAAAAAATCTTTTTCCGCAATTGGAGCATAATTACCTAGGCAGGAGCAAAGTAGGACCAAGTTACGGTACATCTGTTCACAAGGCGAAACTATACTTGATTATATTTAAAAGCTACTTAGTTTATTTATGGATGAATAGAAAACTAAATTAAATTTAAAAGTTTTGTTTGTGTGACTGTGTATCTTTGACGACAGCATTGCTCGTATTGCGATATTTATTCGTTGAGCGAGGAAAGCACCAGCTCTGAGATCTCCGCTACTATCTACCAGGCGCTAACTTAAATTTTAATCAGCGCCTGTGCATTTGATTGATAACACATTTAAAGATTCTTCCAAATAAACGAAACTATGTTTTCTTTTTTAATTTCTCTTAACTGCTAAAGTAGGTTAGAAAAAAATCGTACGAACGTTTCAGAATTTTTGACTTGGCTTGAAATAGAAAATGCATTTTAGCAATGAGTTATATATTAGATTCGACGCGTGTTACAGTTTCGAAAGCACAGTATTTTCGAAATTTCGGATTAGAATTAAAAGAAGTCTGTCCCGTCTTGAGAATCCTTACATCACTGACATACTCGTACTTATGTCATTTGATATCGACGTAATAGTCATCGTAAAGAAATTGCAAGCTTTTTTCAATTGTTACCGTTTCGTTCAGTCAATGAAATCTTTGCTCCCTTCACCATCATAACATTTGAATTTGAATTCTTTATGGTAGACTGCGCAACTTAAATGTATTATGTACAATACATTGCGAGGCCCTGAGATCGATTTTCAAGGAAAACAGTGCCGAAACTTCCAGACTGCTTATAAACATACGCACAAGTTTGTCTGCCCTATTGGGATTTTACGGGGCTTTAAACAACCGGTATATAGTGTGATAAGTAAAAGCTTTTTTACGCAACGTCCAAGTTTAAACTGACTGCTAAATATGTTAAGTTCTTTAACATTTACCGTGATTACAGTAGATACAGTGTAATGTTTCACAGACTGCATAACTTTATAGTTATTTAAAAACATAAGCCTATATTAAAGTACATACAAAATGCCAATTAGTTCACATGTAACTGTACCTTTAAGCAATGAATTTAAATTCGAATCTATAGAATAGACAAATAATTTTAAATATATACACAATACAAATCAAACTTTAATACGATTTTTTATAAATATCCATGACTATATATATATAGTCATGGATTTATTATCCTTATTCTGGTAAATAATCTCAGTTAATATATCTACTGTATTTTTAAATGGTATCTGGGTGTAGGGGTATTTAAATACACAACACTGTAATTTCCTCGCGATGGAAGCAGTATTGGTGGTATGTAACAGTTTATTGATGGCAACGGTGTATAGCGCGCGCATTCAAATTGCTCAGTGATAATTTAAAAAAGGAATTAAAAACCCGTAAGTAATCATTTTCATTTTTAAAATGATTAAATATTTTTTTTAATTAAATATATGTTTAATATAATATGGCTGAACGTAAAATTTCATTACGTTAATAAATGCTTTGATAAATATTTTTTTTGAACATAAATTATTTACAAATTAAGTCAAGTCAATCGTCAATTTTAATTGTTAGAAAGCAAAATGTTGTTCATCTCATTATTTGTTAATTGTCCAATATATTATAATACAAATTATTTAAACAACATCTATAAAATGATTTACTGATTTGAGATTTTGTGTATTTTTTTAAATACATACAAACCATTAAAGAGAAAAATACGAAATTGCACCTTGTTATATTTTTTAAAAGGAATATACGTATGTACAAATTTTCCTAGCCTAGGGCCTTGTATGCCTTTACTAGTATTCTCGTGTTCTCACGTTACGAGCAAGAATTTATTGTGCCAATAAAATTGGCGCATAGCTCTTGGTTAAGAAACCCTCTTTATTATTACAGATAACTTATAATCATTGTAATAATTGTTTTACACAACAGTCTTAGTAACGAAATATCCT